GTGTGTGTGTGTGTGTGTGTGTGTGTGCGTGCGCGTGTGTGTGTGTGTGATGTATTATGCTTTCAAATCAATGTTGATTCCTGGTGACTACCTAGGGAAGTCTTTATAGTTTTCTTGGATTTTACAGAAGGGGTTTGCTCTTTCCTCCTTCCTAGGGCTGAAAGAGAATGATTGGCCCAAGGTCATCCAACTGGCTTTGTACATAAGGCAGAACTAGAACTTATGGTCTCCCAGTTTCTAGCCTGCTGCCTTAACCAAACTGGTAGAGAAGCTTTGTTAGAAAGAAAGAAAAATAGCAATCTTTTTTTTTCACTAGAAGGTAATTCAGCTGAATAAGAATGAAAAGTGAAAAGAGGTTGAAAATCATTCTCATTGAAGCTATAAATAAATGTATTATGGTTAAGTTGTCAGCATGGAGAGAAATGGGGGAGGTGGCCGTCTTTGCCTTTAACAGCTGTAGAAATGTGGAGCATTTTAGATATGGAGAGGAAGGAATGGTGAATGCACTATTTCTGAATGAGAGTTCAACAAAATCATTCAAAAACATAGATGTTAAGGAACAAAGACTAGGAGCTGAAGGAGAGAAATTCAAAAGTAATATTAAAAAGTATTACTTCACAAAAATAATAATTATTTATTAAACTTATCAGCCACCCAACTTACCACAGGGTAACTGGTAATGGAAGTTTGGAAGCAACTTTCAGTGGAGGTAGTGAATCAGTCATCAGTAACTGATGCTCCAACAAAAACTAAAAATAAATAAATAATAAAAATAAATTAATTAATTAAAAAATAAACAAACAAACTCAAAGGGCAGACTCAATGGACCATTGGGTCTTTTTTCTACTGTCAGTTTTTTATGTTTCTATATCTGTAAGAGCTCAGGGTGGGGAATCAAGGAAAGAAAAACATATTTTATTCTCGGACCTCCTAATGAATCCTCAATACCTCATTTGTGACAGCTCTAAAACCAAATGAAAGCGATGTTGGGAAAACTTTTGCTTTGATCCTATCTCATTCAGCTCTCTGTGATTTTGGGGGTTTATCCTCAGGCCAACATGCAGAAAATTGCAGCCTTAATGAGGTCAGCCCATGACAGTGGTAAACAGAATATATACGCATGTATATATGTATTAATGTATGCATGTAAGAATGTATGTATGTATGTATGTATGTATGTATGTGTGTGTATGTATGACTGTATGTATGTATGTATTGTCTTTAGTGCTAACTGGGACTCACAAGAGTGAAAATTAATAAAGAATAAGACTGTTATTATATTAGCAAAGCTAGAGATTGATTTTAAGTGATACACTGGCAGGAGAATCTATAGAAGACCAGATGGATAATGGCAAAGAGCATATTGATTGTCCAATAGGCAGTCACTCCCATTAAGTGCTAAAAAACCAGCTTTCTGAATCCTAGTTTTCCAGTCCTACGGGTTCCCAAAGATTATTAAAACAAATGAATTATGTCCACCTGAAAAGAAATAGGCTACAGTAATCCAGAACATTGTGGAATCTTAAACTTAATTTGAGTGTTCTCCAAAACAGATTTAAAATTGCAAGTACTATATCTGGGCATGGAGACAAAAATCGTCAAATCACAATGGCATAATATTTGTGGCCGAAGGTCACAAAGCAATCAGGGCTTTTCACAGAGGCTCATTTTCCAGTTTAAAATATATTTATATATGAGATTATTGTATTAGGTCCGGTTAAAAGTAGCTTTGGCCGTTCAGAATTGCAAACCCATTTTGTGCCTTAGCTTCAGTGTAGCATATGGCTGAATGGACTTTACCCTCCACACTTAATTGTTTCATTCTTACCCTGAGGCTTGTAGTAATGTAGGCTACTTGATAGGTTTGACTTCTGTCCTCTCTCTTTTTAGAAATTAGGGTTGGAATCATAATAAGCCACAATAAATTTCTGCACAATAATTATTCTGTAATAAATGTCTAAATTTGAGACGCCAAAAGCTCTCATTCTGTTGGGGAAAAAACTGTCTACAGTTTGAGACCTTGTAGGAAAGCAAAGTACCTTCCAAGACTAGAAGTGTTGCAAATTGAGAAAATGCACATTCCAGTGAGTCTAAAATATTGAATAAATTCCTATTGTTCAGCTTACCACCATTTATTTAAAAAATCGAGCATTGAAGTAAATAAACTATTCTTTTTTTGCAATTAGTGCCATACATAAGCTGATTGTAAGCCTTGTCTCCTCTTTCCAATTCCAGGTTAACAAAAACTTATAAGGAACTCCTGCACTGTAATCTCTCTTGTTAACACTTCCCAAGGATTGGCTTGTTTTACACAACATCCAGGCTGGGCCATCAATTCCCTCTAGTTGACCTCACCTTGGCCAGGGCAACTCCCCGTACCTCAGAGATGGGGGTGGCCAAAGTCATCCGGCACTTCAGTGGGGCCGGTGAGGCAGGAGAACTCCAAGAAGATGAGCCAGTGGAATCCCCCAAGAACTGCCATAATGGCAAGCTTGTCACCATCCAGCCACGCAGCCGTTTTGTGAAGAAGGATGGACACTGCAATGTGCAGTTTGTCAACATGAGTGAAAAGGGTCAGCGGTATCTTACTGATATCTTCACCACCTGTGTGGATATCCGCTGGCGCTGGATGTTCCTCATCTTCTGCCTTTCTTTTGTGCTCTCCTGGCTTCTCTTTGGCTTCACCTTCTGGCTCATAGCTGCACTTCATGGAGATCTTGCACCTGAGCAACCCCCTAACTCAAGGCCTTGTTTCTCTGAGGTTACCAGTTTCATGGCTGCCTTCCTCTTCTCCTTGGAGACCCAGACGTCCATTGGATATGGCTTCCGTAGCGTGACAGAGGAATGCTCCTCGGCTGTCCTGGCTGTGGTCTTGCAGTGCATTCTGGGGTGCATCATTGATGCCTTCATCATTGGTGCCATTATGGCCAAGATAGCCAAGCCAAAGAAACGCAACGAGACCCTTGTTTTTAGCGAGACTGCTGTGGTGGCCATGCGAGATGGAAAGCTCTGCCTTATGTGGCGTGTGGCTAACCTGCGGAAGAGCCACCTGGTAGAGGCCCATGTCCGTGCACAACTGTTGCAGGTAAGGAGAATATTGGTGACAAACCTATCAGTAACAGTGAAAAAGGAAGTAAGACATTTGGGGAAATTTTAAGATATATTCTTCTGTGGTACTTGGATAGATATATAGGAAGGATGAAATGAATCCAGACTGGGAAGAGAGTGAGAAAGCTAGTCAGAGAAAATTTGGAGGAGACAAATCTGGCCAGAAAATTGAGAGTAGCAGCTACAGGAATACTAATATAGGATGGATGGATGGATGGATGGATGGATTTAAGAAGTGAGAAACTGAATTATGGTGGATCTGGAAGGAGTGATGAATACAAGGTTGGTTGTAGGCTGTTTAAGCTCTACATACCATGTGACAATCATGCCTAGATCAAACAACCTTGGTGTGATCTAGGCTGTATACTGAGAGAGCCAACAATTAAAATTGCATTTTTTCCCAATCATCAGAAATGTCTGTTATTGGATCTGGGTACTTGAGAGACCGCCTACTGCCAATTACCTCCACTAGGCCAATAAGATCCCATAGATTAGG